TGGGTAAGGTCTGCCGGAGGCAATGTTTGTCCCCAAGGAGGAAGAACAAAGTAGCAAACCTGTGATCAGCGGGGTAAGTCCTGACCTGCGAGGACAAGGTCCAGAGGCAGGGAGGGGCGTCCCTTAGAGAAGCCTCATCTATTCTTCTCCCTCCACTCACAGAGATGACCTCATGGCCCATGTCACACCCAAAGAGCTGGGCTCATTAGTGACGTGCCCACGGCCCCAGGGCAAAGCAGGAGCCCCAGGCTGACCCCAAAGTGTCCCGCACTCCTCACCATTAGTGAAAAGACAGCAGAGAAGAAACCATCACCCTTATCCAGACTCCCTGCAGCCTCCCAGGTGGTCTCTGACTCTCAGTGACCTCCCAGAGTCCAGCTTCCACCCAGCAGCAGGCAAAGCTCTCTCCAAGCGAGTCGCCTGCCTCAGCCCAGGCTCAAACCTTCGACAGCCTCCAGTCCCCACAGTCCAGAAAGCCCCACAAAAGCCAAGGGGAGAGGTGGATGAGGCCTGTGACGGCGGCTAGGAACTGAGCACAGGGGAGTAAGTGAGCGGGACAAGGGTCCAGGGACTTCCTGTTCCAGCTTCTTACCCTGAAGTGAGATCTAGGTCCAGGGAGAAGGCAGCCCGGGTACTGGTCACAGCTCGGGAGGTGCGGTAGGACCTGGCCTCTGTGTTCACTTCCTTCAGGAGGAGAGGCCTTTGGGAGGCTTGGGAGAGACGAGCTCTTTGGAAGAGCCTCTTTCAGGGGGACTATAAGACAGTGCTTGAGGCCACATGGTTTCAGACTGGCCCCAATTGAGCCAGACTGGTCCCGATCTCCCCAGACTGCTGTGCAACCGTGAGCCACCTTCTCACCCTCTCTGTGAAACCTTGGCTTCTACAGCCTAAAATGAGGGGCCGGATGACCCCGGGGGCTCTTGAGCTGTTTGTTCTGCTGAACTTCCTCCACTACCCCATCGTCCCTGGGAGTTAGTGTGAAAGGGACCTGGGATCAGAAAGTCCAGTGGTGACCCTCCATCCCCCACCCCAAGTCCAGCAGGTGTCAGAGACCTGGGCCACAGTTGTGGGGTAGGGGAGGAGGACAGCAATAATCAGGCCCCCGGAGGAAGGAGAATACAGACCAAGGATTCCTTCTTTCTCTCTCTCTCTTTTTTTTTTTTTCTTTTTTTGAGTTGGAGTCTCACTCTGTCACCCAGACTGGAGTGCAGTGGCCGCTCCCGACCACCGCAGCCTCGACCTGCTGGGCTCCAGCGATCCTTCCGCCTCAGCCTTCCCAGTAACCGGAACTACAGGCACGTACTGCCACGCCCGGCTAATTGTTTGATTTATCGTAGAGATGAGGTCTCGCCAAGTTGCCCAGGCGGGTCTCGAACCCGCGGGCTCAGGCAATCCACTCACCTCGACCTCCCAAAACACGGGATTACAAGCTGAGCCACTGAGTCCGGCTTTTTCTCTTTCTTCATTGTTTTTCCCCCAATTATATAATTACGCCTTTATATCTTTTCAATGTAAAGGATTCCAGAAATACCTGTGAATGTAAAGTAGGGGATGACCGTCTCTCTCCAGGGGCCGTATAGGACAGTGCCCAAGAGCACAGTCTCCACTTACCTGCTATTAGGCCTCGAGCAAGTGACTTGGTTTTTCTGGGACTCAGTTTGTCATCTGTGTAGTGGGCTGTTGGAAGGATCAAATGAATTAGCACACACAAAGAAAGCCGTTGGGCAGGACCTGGCCCAGCAAATGTTCTCACCTGTGGGAGCTATTATTAGTCACCGTTACACCCTCTCACTCCTTCATGCAGTGACAAACCTATGAATGTGCAAGTGTGACTTAACAATCCCTCGTCTACACAACCGTATACACCCGCACATAAATATACATATATATAATACTTTAAATATGACATACTTCAGGCATTTAGGTATATTCTGTGATTTTTTTTTTCACTTCAAATATGTGTTCCAAGTCCGTGAGTGAAGGCGCACCGTATTCTTTTTCTTTTTTTGTCTTTTTGAGTTGTGTCTCATTCTGTTGCCCAGATTGGAGTGCAGCGGTACAATCACAGCTCACCGCAGCCTTGACCTCATGGGTTCAAGTTATTTTTCTGCCACGGCCTCCCAAGTAGCTGGGACTTACAGGCAAGTGCCTCCACACCTAGATAATTTTTAAAGGTTTTTTTTTTTTTTTTGAGTGGGAATCTCACTCTGTCACCCAGGCTGGAGGGCAGTGGCATGCCTCTAGGCCACTGCAGCCTCAACCTGTTGGGCTCTGGCGATCCTTCTTCCTCTGCCTTCCAAGTAGCTGGAATTATAGGTGCGCACTACCTCGCCCAGCTAAGTTTTGATTTATTGTAGAGATGAGTGCTCGCCAAATTGCCTGGGCTGGTCTCAAACCCGCGGACTCAGGCAATCCACTCACCTCGGCCTCCCAAAGTGCTGGGATTACAGGTTGAGCCACCGAGCCCAGCCTGAAGATTTTCAAAATGGAGATTAAGGTTTCGCTATCTTGCCCAGGGTGGTTTCAAACTCCTGGGCTCAAGTGATCCTCCCACCTTGGCATCCCAAAGTGCTAGGATTACAGGTATGAGCCACTGCACCCAGCCCAGAGTGTATTATTATTATTATTACTTTTGAGTTGGAGTCTCGCTCTGTCTCCCAGGCTGGAGTGCAGTGGCATGACCATGGCTCACCACAGCCTCAACCTCCTAGGCTCAGGAAATCCTTCTGCCTCAGCCTCCTGAGTAGCTGGGGCTACAGGCGTGTGCCACCACACCTGGCAAATTATTTTTATTTCTTGTAGAGACAAGTTTTCGCTATGTTGTCTAATCCGGTCTTGAACTCCTGGCTTCCATTGGCCCTCCAGCTTTGGCCTCCCAAAATGCTGAGATTACTGCTGTGAGCCACCATACCAGGCCACATAGAGTATATTATTAAGTTAGAACTAATATTTGAGTCAATTCAAGCATTGTTGGCCAGAAATAATCAAAAGGAAAGCTGTGTACTTCCTACTGCACCCACTGAGAAACTCACAAAGCACCTGGGTGTCCCACCATAAACAATGCTAAAGTTGACCCTGGAACAGGCCAACGGTAGCCTGATTTTAACATACATGACAGACCGGGTGCAGTGGCTCTGCCTATAAGCCTAGCACTTTCAGAGGCAAGAGGATTGCCTGAGCCTGGGGCGTTCGAGACTAGCCTGGGCAACTTGGTGAGACCTTGTCACTACAATAAATCAAAAAATAAGCCAGGCATGGTAGCATGTACCTGTAGTTCCAGTTATTTGAAAGGCTGAGACAGAAGGATCACCTGAGCCCAGCAGGTCGAGGCTGCGGTGGCTGTGAGCACGCCACTGCACTCCAGCCAGGGTAACAGAGTGAGACTCCAACTCAAAAATAAATAAATAAATAAACAAGCCAGGCTTGGTGGCTCAGCCTGTAATCGCAGCACTTTGGGAGGCTGAGGCTGAGCCTGCGGGTTCGAGACCAGCCCGGGCAACTTGGCAAGACTTCGTCTCTACAATAAAATAAAAAACTAGCCCGGTGCAGTAGCACGTACCTGTAGTTCCGGCTACTTAGAAGGCTGAGGCGGAAGGATCGCCCGAGTCCAACATGTCAATGCTGGGGTGGCTGTGAACATGCCACTGCACTCCAGCCTGGGCGATGGAGTGAGACTCCAACTCAAAAACAAACAAACAAACAAACAAAAATACATGACAGTCTTTGCCTGATTCAGTGATACAAAAGGATGTTTTTCTATGTTTATCATTCCTAGATGTGCATTAGCTGCTGTGACAGGCAGCTTACAAGGTGGCCTCCAGCAGCTCCTGCCTCCTGGCATTTACATCTGTGTTGATTTTCTAGGGCTGCCATAGTACCACAGACTGGATGACATAACCAACAGGAACTCATTGTCTCACAGTTCTGGAAATCAGAGGAGGGAGATCAAGGTGTCAGCAGACTGTGCTGCCTCTGAAGGCTCAGGGAAGATCTGCTCCTGGTCACCCTCCTGCCTTCTGGCAGTTGCTTGGTTTGTGGCCACAGAGCCTTAATCTGTGTATGGCATTCTCCTCATGAGTGTCCCTCTGTCCAAATACTCCCTTTTTACAAAATTTATTATTGTTATATTTTGAGACAGGGTTTCATGCTGTCATCCAGGCTGGAGTGCAGCGGCATGATCACAGCTCACTGTAGCCTCAAACTCTTAGACTGATGTGATCCTCCTGCCTCAGTCTCCCAATTAGCTAGGACCACAAGTGTGTGCCACCCCACCCAGCTAATTTTATTTTATTTTATTTTTGTAGAGACAAGGTCTTGCTATGTTGCCCAGGTTGGCCTTGAACTCCTGGCCTCAAGTGATCCTCTCACCTCAGCCTCCCAACACATTGGGATTACAGGCATAATCTACCTGCCCTGACCCAAAGTTGCCCCATTTCTTTTTTTGTTTTGTTTTTTTGAGTTGGCATCTCACTCTGTTGCCCAGGCTGGAGTGCAGTGGCATGCTCATGGCCAACCCAATGTCAACCTGCTGGACTCTGGCAATCCTTCTACCTCGGCCTTCCAAGTAGCTGGAACTACAAGCATGCCCCACCATGCCCGGCTAATTTTTTGATTTATTGTAGAGATAAGGTCTCATCAAGTTGCCCAGGCTGGTCTTGAACCCGTGGGCTCAGGCAATCCTCTCACCTCGGCCTCCCAAAGTATTAGGATTATAGGCATAAGCTACCGCGTCCCGCCCTAATTAACATTTTTTTTTTTTAGTTGGAGTCTCACTCTTGTCACCCAGGCTCGAGTGCAGTGACAGGCTTACGGCCACCATAGCCTTGATCTGCTGGGTTTAGGTGATCCTTCTGCCTCAGTCTTTCAAGTAGCTGGAACTACAGACACATGCCACCATGCCTGGCTAGTTTGTGTGATTTATTGTAGAGACGAGGTTTCACCAAGTTACCCAACTAGGCTCTAACCCCTGGGTTTAGGCAATCCTCTCACCTTGGCAGCCCAAAGTGCTGGGATTATAGGCTGAGCCACCACGCCCAGTCGTTAACCATTTTTTAAGTGAACAATTCAGTGGTGTGTAGCGCATTCACAATGTTGCACAAATACCACCTCTGTCTAGATCCAAAACATTTCATCACCTCCAAGGGAAACTCCATGCCATTAAGCTATTGTCCCCACCGACCCCTCAGCGCAGCTCTGGTGACCACTAATCTACCTTCTCTCTGTGATTTACCTATTCTGGATATTTTATATAGATGACATCATGCACCCTGTGGCCTTTTGTGCCTGGGTTCTTTCACTGAGCATGTGAACCTAATGAGTGAGTTCTAACAACTACAATAGGACAAAGTGAATTGAAAAGCCCAGCTAGTCGGGTTCCACGGCTCAGCCTGTAATCCCAGTGCTTTGGGAGGTAAATGGATTGCCTGAGCCCGTGGGTTCAAGACCAGCCCAGACAACTTGGTGAGACCTTGTCTCTACAATAAATCAAAAATTAGCTGGGCGTGGTAGCATGCAACTGTGTGCTGTTTTTTTCCCTTCTGGATCTTACAACACTATGGAAGCTTCCCTACCTGGCTTAGCTTGTACTCGTCTTGAATCTCACCGGACTCCCACACAGTATGGCCCCGCCTGACCACTGTGTCTGAGGGGCATCTCGGATGCTTTATGACAGTGGGGTGGCCAGGAGCGACGTCAGGCACCCAAAGACTGCATATCTCCTTTGCTCACATGCCTGCTCCATTGTCCCGCGGGACTTCGCCACAAAACACAAATTCAAAGACAAAATGATTAAGAATTTCAAGACGGTGACATTAGAGCATTTAGCCAAATGCTCACCTCCCCCAGGCCAGCTGGCTCGTCCTCCGGGCCCTCCTGAGCATGGCCTTGTGTTCTTGCCCTGCTGACACACCATGAGGCAATCTTGTGTCTGGACAGCAGTCAGCGGGGAACTGAATCCTGCCACCATGTGAGCAGGCTTGGAAGGGATTATCCATCCCTCAGTGGAACCTGAAGACGAACCGCAGGATCCTCTGACACCTCCATTCTAGCCTGTGGGAGTCCAGAACCAAGGGTCCCAACGAAGCCACGCCCAGATTCCCGACCCACAGGGACTGTGAGATAATAAACATGTGTTGTTTCAAGCAACCACGTTTTGGGGTGATTTATTTTGCAGCCACAGATACCTAACACAGCTGGCATTTATCTGTAAAGCAGGGCCCTCCTTCCTCAGCCAGGGCTATCGGGTTACTTTGAAATACAGTTCCCATAGCTGGGCTCCGTGGCTCAGCCTGTAATCCCGTGCCTTTGGGAGGCTGAGGTGAGTGGACTGCCTGAGCCCGCGGGTTCGAGACCTGCCTGGGCAGCGAGACCTCATCTCTACAATAAATTAAAAAATCAGCCGGGCGTGGTGGCGCATGCCTGTAATTCCGGCTACTCAGAAGGCTGAGGTAGAAGGATCGCCGGAGCCCAGCAGGCCGAGGCTGCGGTGGCCGGGAGCGGCCATTGCACTCCAGTCTGGGCGACAGACTGAGACTCCAACTCAAAAAAATAAAAAAAAATAAAATAAAAGAAATACAGTTCCCATTGGAACGGCAGGGTAAATGCTTGCTTCTTTCCGGTATTTTTCAATTTTCAAGGTCACACATTATTTAATAAATGCCTCAGTGGAGTCCCAAGGGTTTCTCTGAATTTCTCCAGTTTGAGATTCTCAGAAACATATGAATTTTCATAAATCCAATGCATCTTGATCACCGACAGTCATTTTTCTTTTTGATGTTCAGACTGCTGCAACTCGGCCAGTGGGGGTCTCTTCCAGCTGGCTCCTGCGTCCTTTTGACATGACCCCATTAATCTTTGAAAGCATCCTGGCTTTCTGCTACAAACAAGATGTCCCAGGCTCCCCCTGCACTAGCCCTGCTCCAGCCCCGGAGCCAGTCACTTCTCTAGGGAGCCACCCTTCCGTGGTGCCTGCTATTCAGACACTGAGATCTGCACACCAGGGGTCCTCAAGGTTTTAATTTGCATATCCCTAATGACTAGTGAGGTTGGGCATCTTCCATGAAGACTGACCATTTTCACTATTCTTCTGTGATTCTGCTTTCTGAAAACAGAATCTATCTATTTCTATTTTATATTAGATTATTTCATAATTTTTTTTTTTTTAGTTGGAGTCTCACCCTGTCGCCCAGACTGGAGTGCAGTGGCCGCTCCCAGTCACCGCAGCCTCGATCTGCTGGGCTCCTGCAATCCTTCCGCCTCAGCCTTCCAAGTAGCTGGAATTACAGGCGCGCGCTACCAGGCCCGGCTAATTTTTTTTTTTTAATTGTAGAGATGAGGTCTCACCAAGTTGCCCAGGCGGGTCTCGAACCTGCGGGCTCAGGCAATCCACTCACCTCAGCCTCCCAAGGTGCGGGATTACAGGCTGAGCCACCAACCCAATGAATTGGTAGGACCTCTTTTTTTTTTCCTGAGACAGGCTCGAGTATAGTGGCAGGATCACCGCTCACTGAAGCCTTGACATCCTGAGTCAGTCCTTCCACTTCAGCCTCCTGAGTAGCTGGGACTACATGCATGCGCCACCACGCCCAGCTAATTTTTCTGTTTTGTTTTGGTTTGGCTTTGTTTGGTTTGGTTTTCTGTAGCAATGAGGTCTGGCTATGCTGTCCAAGCTGGTCTCAAACTCCTGGGCTCAAGCAATCCTCCTGCCTCAGCCGCCCAAGGTGCTGGGATTATAGGTGTGAGCCACTATGCCCAGACTGGTAGGACCTCTTTTAAAGCTTCTAGATATTGATCCTTTATAAGTTACATTCATTGGAAATAGCTTTTCCTCCCACTAGCCTGGTTTTTATCTTTGCCTAGAGTACCTTTTGTGGCACAAAAGTTTGCAGCTCTTATGTTTTTAGTCTGTCCATCTTGTGGGTCATGGCTTGTGGGCAGCATATCTTCCTAGGAAGTCCTCGGCACCCCAGGGTTAGGTAACTTGCCTAATGTCACAAGGTAATCAGTGGGGAGCTGAGTGCACCTGAGCATTTGTGTGCTCCAAGGCCGGTGCCCTTCCACCAGGACACACTGTCTTCCCAGGGTGACTGTGGCCTCCAAGGTGGGGAGAGGGAAGATGCGAGGTAATCTGGGGCCAGAGGTGACCTAGGCTCTGGAATAACATTCAAAGTCTGTTCCCAAAAGCCAGCAAGCCTTGGCTGATAAGGGGGTAAGGACAGCGTGTTCAAGAAGCAGCCTGAGCCGGGCTCTGTGGCTCAGCCTGTAATCCCACGCCTTGGGAGGCTGAGGTGAGTGGATTGCCTGAGCCCGTGGATTCGAGACCCGCCTGGGAAACTCTACAATCAATCAAAAAATTAGCTGGGCTTGTCAGCGTGCTCCTGTAGTTCCAGCTACTTGGAAGGCTGAGGCGGAAGGATCGCCAGAGCCCAGCAGGTCGAGGCTGCGGTGGCCGGGAGCGGCCACTGCACTCCAGTCTGGGTGACAGAGTGAGACTCCAATTCAAAAAAAAAAAAAAAGAGGCAGCCTGCTGGGAGGGAGATGTCAGGCCACCATGGGGAAGGGAAAGCCAAAAACTATCTCTGGGCCCCAGGAATCTGACCACCTCAGCCTCCTCCCCCACCCCCTGGGGTGTCAGACACCCTAGTTTTTCCCTTGGGTGACAGCTGTCAGGGTGCTTGGGGTCTTGAAGCATGGGAGCACGTGGACAGAGAGTCACGTCCTTCCTCGCATGATGTCCCGAAAGGCAGGCAGAGTGGCTGGGAGAAGAGTTACAGGGGCTTTGTAGAGCCCATGCCCCTGTTCCCTTAACCTCCAGGCTAGACTGCCAGGGTTTCTGGTGATAAAGCAGGTAGAGAGAAGCAAGGAGTGCGTTTTCCCCCATTTCCTTGACCAGGATGGGGTCCTTGGTGCGATACCCCTTATTGCCACTAGATGGAACTTCTTCATCATCGATATCAGCTGTCGGTGCCTAACAAGACCTTGGTTCGCGACCCTGGAATTCCTCAACTTCATCCCCTTGACTTCCCTCCCAAAACCACGCCGGAGATCCGTGAGTGAGGGGCAGTAAATCCGGAGTGTGTATGGAGAGGAAGTCTGGGGGCCTGTGTCGGACAGATTCTGGAGAGGGGACGCCCATCTCATCTCGCCCCCTCCGTTCCCCTGGCCCCTTGCATGGTCCTCACGCCTGGCCTCTTCAGTGGCTTTCTCATTGGCCTCCCACCTTCGCCCAAACCAGTGTGTCCTAAGCTCAGAAGAATGGTCTTTCCGAGACATGGGTATGGGCCGCTGCCCTGGCTGCAAAGAACGTGGGCTCTGGGAAAGAATGTGCTCTCCACCAGCTGTACCGCCTTGGGCACAGCCCTAAACCTCTCTGAACCTTGATGAGAAGTCATCCTCCCTTCAGCAACAGAATTTCGTTACATGTTCTAAAAATGAAAAGATCTCCGCTGACCAGGAGACCCCTAATATTTTACTACTATGGACAAATACCAGGATGTCCTTCAGGGACTATTATCAGAGCCTTTTTTGAGTTTGCTGGTTTGTGACTTCAAGGCGGTTTGCCTTTTTCTCCTGAAGATCACAAGATGAATCCCAAGGAGGGCTCTCAGGGTGTGTGGCTGGCAGGATGGGTCCCTCGAGGGCTTATAGACGGCCAAGGTGTCTCATTTTATTTATTTTATAATTTTTTTTTTTTTGAGTTGGAGTATCACTCTGTCACCCAGGCTGGAGTGCAGTGGTACACTCACAGCCACCCCAGTGTCGACCTGCTGGGCTCAGGCGATCATTCCGCCTCAGCCTTCCAAGTAGTTGGAACTATAGGCGTGTGCCACCATGCCCAGCTAATTTTTTGAAATGTTGTAGAGATGAAGTCTTGCCAAGTTGCCCAGGCTGTTCTCGAACCCATGGGCTCAGGCAGTCCTCTCACCTCGGCCTCCCAGAGTGCTGGGATTACAGACTTGAGCCACTGTGCCCGGCCTCATTTTAAAACTCAAAGTCTCTGGTCTTCATTCCACGGCAGTCTCAGTTTCCTTGTCTGTAAAGCCTGCCCTACCTACCTGGCAGAATTGTTGTCAAGATTAAAAAATGAAATAGTGTCCATGAAAATACATTTCTTTTTTTTTGGAGTTGGAGTCTCACTCTGTCGCCCAGACTGGAGTGCAGTGGCACGCTCGCAGCCACCGCAGCCTCGACCCGCTGGGCTCCGGCCATCCTTCCGCCTCAGCCTTCCAAGTAGCCGGAATTACAGGCGTGCGCTACCACGCCCG